GCTACGCGAGGTGGTCCTGGCAGCCCGAGCTGCGTCGCTGCTGCGGGCGCCGGGGCTGCCGCCTCACGTGCTGTGCAGAGCGCGCTGTGCAGCCGCGAGCCCGCCGCCTGCCGGAGGAAAACCCGGCCGCTCTGGCCCTGGGCGGGGTGGGGGCTGGGAGGATCACGCCCACCCAGCCGGGGGCGCCAGCATCGGATTCAGCACCCTAGCAGCCGACCTACGACCTAGGGGCGTCTGGTGCACGCAGGCACTCTTCGACTTTCTGCAAATACGTTTGCCAGGACCGCGAATCTCTACAACTCTCCGCTCCTTGGATTTTCCCAAGGACTCTCATTCGACATAGTTGGAAACTGAGACCCTGAAGAATAAAGCGACTTGCTCAAAGCACGTGGTAGGTGGTAGAGCCACTGCTCAAAGCAGACCCGGGCAGTGGCCAGGGTCCTGAGGTCTTTGGGTACCCTCTCTGACACAAGTATCAAGACAGCTCCTGGGGGAAATGGCAGAGGGCTGTGCCTTCCTGAGCTCACCAGATAGGCACTAGCACGTTTCCTAGCACCTTCCCGGGAAATCAATTGTTGAGGGTCCTGCTGGGGCTCCAGCTGGGGAGCCCAGAGGCAGGGAGACTGTTTCAATCCACTCTTCTCCCCTGATGGCCAACACATCCCATGCACCTGTCCCGGTTACCCCCAGGGAGGCACATGTGGCATGTGGATGTGTGCCTGCAGCCAAGATTGGCTCTCTTGGATACATGGGGAACCCAAGGCTGTGTCTCTTGTCTGTCTGTGCACGTGGCTGGGTGCAGCGCTGCAGAAGCCCAGGCAGGGCGCCATGTGCTGGTCAGCCTCCCCAGATGCACCCGGGGAAGCTGGGGCTGGGGGGCTACAGACCCTTGAAGGCAGGCCTTCCTTGCAGGGACCCTGGAAGGTCTAGGGGAAGGGGGGACAGGCAGGCTAGGCAATGCTACAGGATATCAGGAGGGGCTGCGCCTGCGGAGAGGGCAGCTAAGTGGGAAAAAGCGGCAGAAACAGGGTGTGGGGTAGAAGAAAGGAAGAAAACAGCAGGGAGAGGAAACGGGGTGGGACTGTGAAGGGAGGAGGAGAGGGAAGGGAGGAAGGAGAGGGAGGTAATTCCGACAGTGTTTTCCTCCTTGCTGAACTGTGGTTTGCATACTATAGGTGGGGCTCCACGTGTGCAGGGAGGAGCTACAGCCCACTCTCAGGTCTCTGTCCCCCCAGGGCTCAAGGCTGCAGCTAGGTTATCTCCCTGCCCCACAATTGCGGAAGAGAGGATCAGAGCAGAGGGGTGCGGACAGGGCCAGGCTGGCAGCAGATCAGAAAATAGCTGCTCTGGAAAACCAATAAAGCATTAGAATGATGTGAAGGAGGAAAAAGGTGAAAGGAGTGAGAAGGAGGGGCCTGCAGAGGCATGGGAAGGAGGGCCCAGTCCCTGCTCCAGAGTCAACCCAACCCCCTTAGCACTTTCCCCAGCTCTGAGGATATGGATACCCCATGAAGAGCCAGGGCCTGGATCCTGGGAAGTTCTGAGGATAGCTGCCTAATTTTCCCACTTCCACTTGCCTCAGCATCAATGGAGCACCGAGCTGGAAGTCAGGTGGCCAGGGGGCTTTGTAAGAAGGACAGACATGATAAGTCCCTTCCCTCCAAAGGGGTCAGATGTGTGCTTTCTAAGAGCCTTTTCAGTTCTGGGGAGCTCTAAGCAACCCTGGTAATATTGGGAAGCCAAGAAAAAAAAAAATCCCACAGCCACTATGTACCACGGAAAATCCCCAGAAGATAATCCACTCTTGGATCACAGAAAAATGGATGATGGTGGGTTTCTTGGTTCCTTGAGCAAGCCCAGAAGGTCTGGGTAGGATACTAACGTGACATCTGCCTGCTTTACTGGGCTCTGACCACAGAGATGCCAGGGCTCCCCAAAGAGGCCATGCCATTGTTCTATATAAGAGAGAAAGAAAAAGCCACCACCCAGAGCTTTTCCCATGGTGGGCATCTGGGTGCTCCATCTTTATCCTTCTAAATAACTCTGCAATGAACATCTTTGTGCCTGAGTCTTTGCCTACACCCTTCTTTCTTCACTCAGGCTGGACCCTCCTGAAGGAGTTACTGAGCTAAGTGTGAACATTTTGAAGGCTTTTTGTGCCTCTGTCCTTTTTTCTCACTGGAGCCAGAACTTGAAGTATAGGGTGGAGAAATGATTCAGGGTGTTTCTGTGTGCCTTTTCTTGTCTTCCCTGCACAATGAAGGACTGTGTGCACACACTAAGGCCACCCTCCATCCTTCAACATACCCCCAAAACCCTAGGGCAAAGAACATTCCAGCTCTCCCTGTTTCCCTCAAGGCTCTCTGGGTCACCTCACCCAGCCTCGCCCTGTTGCCTGCATCCCTTGGCTGCTGGCTAGACTGCAAGCACTGGTCTCCTGGTGCACAGCTGCTCCCAGCACCTGCTTGCTGAGTGGAACCTTGGTGTCTGGTAGGGAAGTCCCCAGGAGGGGCTGGAGGGAGAGACCATTCAGCCCGAGAAGAAGGCTGAGTTGGCCTGGGTCTTGATGTCCCATGGAACAACCTCAGTGCAAAGGACAAAGGTGCAGCTCTCTTTGCTATGTCACTGAGTACGAAAAAGATAGGAAACTGCCTTAACATGCAGGGAGAGCTTTAGGTTAGACAGTGAGATGGGACCAGGAACCTGAGGCAGTGGAATCACAGAGTGGTTAATCACCGTTAAACCTGCTCCATTAAAGGGGTTGCAGGGGTGGTGACAGCAATCCTGGGGACCGCTAGATGTTTCTCAGAAATTCCCTTGGCCATGGCAGTCAGTGGAATAGCTGTGGGCCTGGGGAATGAGCTGCTCAAGGCCTTGGGATCTCCTTCCACAGAGTCTACTGCATGGCCCAGAAGCTGAGAACTGCTCTTCAGCATTCTCAGCACCCCACTTGTTCAGCTTCCTCCAGGCCCACACCCATCCTGTCCCCAGTTTGTCCTTTAGGCCTGGAGGTCATGGGCATGGCAACCTCTGACCTGCAACCAGGAGGTCCTTCTCTTCTGCTGTGTTCTCCACCCCTCCTCCTTTCCAAGGGCTGGAGTAAGAGTCAGCCAAACAATTTCCCATTAGTATGCATATGTATTCCCAAATTCCTTAACAGAATGACTAACACCACCTACAGCCATTAGCTGGAGTTTGTTTTCTAAATCCAGTTTACTTTCTATCATCCAGCCCTCTGTTTACCACTTCCCCTCCCCCTTGCTCCCTTCCCAGCCTCCTGCTCCAGTCCCAGGCCTGGAGGTGGGTTCCTGATGCACCCAAGACTCAGACCTTCTGGGCCACCATAATCACTCATCCGGGAAGTCCTGACTTCCCTGCACCACCTAGCACTTTGATAAAAGATAGCGAGGAAGAAAAGGAGAGGGAAGACAGAGCTTCTTCCTAGAGAGGAGAGACCCACACCAATGCTGGTTCTGTGCCCTGCAATCTATAATGAGCACTCTCAGCCAGGCCTGGTGGTGCACACCTGTAATCCCAGCACTCTGAGAGGCTAAGGAAGGCGGATCCCATGTTCAGGCCCAGCCTGGACAATTTAGCAATTTAGTAAGACCCTATCTCAAAATAAATAAATAAATAAATACAAATAAAAAGGGCTGGGAATGAACTTCAGTGGGAAGGCCCTGGGTTCAATCTCCAGTACTTAAAAAAAAATTTCCAATGCTTCCCCACTGTCTGAGCACAACCATCACATGACAATCACATCAAGCAGATCATCATCCCTATTTTTCAAACAGAGACCCTCAGTGATAGATAACACAGCAGCTCTGAGAGCTCGGAGCTGTTGACTGGTGATACTGGATTACAAACCAAGTCTTCTCAGCCTGAATCTCAGGCTCCTTCTGTGGCCAAGGCAGCCTTTCTTGTTCTAGCCATGATGCCACTAAGTGGCAAATCACCTAGTACAGCCTGGCACACATTAGGCCTGGGGCAGAGAAAGGCTGAGGGCACAGGGCTGGCTTCACAGAGGCCCTGCAGCCCGAGAGGACCACACTGACCCACGAACACTTAGGAGATGCTGGAATTTGGATGGTGTGGTAGAATGAGCACCAGAAGAAAAGGTAAGGATCCAGAACCTGATTCTCTCGTGTGATCTTGAGCAACTGTTCCTCTCTATGGGCCTCAGTTTCCCCATCTCTAAAAATCACAAAATCAGGGCTAAATGGTGTCTTGGATCCAATGAAATGCAAGAGCTGTTCAAAGCAGAATACAAGAAAATAGATGCCAGGGACTTTCTTGGTGTTCTGTCCCCTGCCAGGCAATCCCCAGATTTGAAGGGTGACATTGGAGCCAAGATCACACACAATGGGCCTGATCCAGCAGATCAGGACAGAACCACAGCTCCTTTCTGTACCCAGCAATACATAAAAGGAGGTAGACTGCCTCACCAGTCTACCCCGAAGCCCACACCTCTCTTACCAACAGTAAGAGTGCAAGAACTGTGTGCCAGCGTCTCTCTGCCCTGGATGGTGATTATTTCGTTCAATTCTTAAAAAGAGTCCATGAGGCAGGGACTAATATTATCCCCATTTTATAGATATGGCAACCAAGACACAGAGACGCTAAGTAGGCTGAGTCAGAAAATTGGCAGGGAGCAGATCTGTAGTTCTAACCCTGACACTCCAACT